TTGGGCGTGATGCATCGGTGTGGACAAATGTCATCGGTCCGCATGGCATTGGTTCAGCGAATGTGAACGGTGACAGGCTGCCCTCACTGTGTGCCACTCACGGTCTGACGATCACGAACACTCGGTTTGCACTGAGTGCGAGTGATATAGCAACCTGGACGCACCCACGGAGTGGTCACGCTCACCTGCTCGACTATGTCATCGTACGTCAGCGTGATATGCGTGAAGTGCGCATGACACGTGTACTGCGTGGAGCTGAATGTGGCACTGATCACAAGTTGGTGCGGACCAAACTGTACATATATTTTCGTAAATCTATGTATTGCACTCCCGCCGTGAATCGGCGTAAATTTAACATTCTCTCCCTCGGTACTGTGGCGAAACGTACTGAGCTGGAGAAGGCGATGGCTGCACGCCTGTGTGATGTAGACTGCATAGCCACAGTGGGCGACCTGTGGTACCACATTCACGATCAGGTGACAGCTGCTGCCGAGGAGACCATCGGGCGCGAAAACTGTAAGCGGCATGATTAGTTTGATGAGAACAATGAGACGATCGGCGCATTGGTGTCGGAGAAGAATGCAGCATTTGCTGCACATGTTGCAGATCCCAGTGACTTGGGGAAGAGGAGTCAGTTTCGCAAACTTCGACGGCGACTGACCCGAGAGCTCCGTCGCATTAAAACTGCATGGTGGACGGAGAAGGCGAAGCAGATGGAATGCTACGCCGAACGCCGCTAACACAAGGAATTCTTTGACTCCTTAAAGGCGGTGTATAGACCGAGATTAGAGCCTCTGACGACACTGATCGATGGTAATTCAGGCGCTACCTTCACACAGATTGCAGACATAATGCAGATCTGGTGGAAACGCTTTGACTGTCTCTTGAACAACCGTTCAGTGATCGACTGGCCTACATTGAACGGCCTGAAGCAGCACGATGTGAAGGCAGATCTGGCGGATACGCCGAGACTGGATGAGATGCAGAGAGCACTTTCTCAGCTGCGAAACGGCAAATGTGCCGGAGCCGACGGAATCCTGCCGAAAGTATTGAAACACGGTGAACCCGCTTTGTTGACTGCGCTGCACCACTTGGTGCAACGTGCATGGATTGAGGAGGAGGTGCATCCTGAGCTGAAGGATGCCCTTGTGCTACCACTGTACAAGGGCAAAGGTAGCAAGCAATGTTGCACGAATTATCGTGGCATCAACTTGCTGAGCTGTGTGGGCAAGGTGATTGCCCGAATCCTGCTCAACCGCCTCGTCAGTCAGGTTGTGGAACCTAACGTGGCGGAGGAGCAGTGTGGATTCCGTCCGGGTCGCAGCACTATGGATATGGTGTTTGCGGCTCGTCAGTTGCAAGAGAAGTGCAGAGAACGACACCAGCCATTGTACTCGCTTTTGTTGATTTCACCAAAGCATTTGATACGGTGAACCGCGAGGCATTGTGGCTGGTGTTGGGTAAGTTTGGTTACCCGCGTAAGTTTGTAAGTTTAATTGAATGTCTGCATAGTGGTATGCGAGCGAGGGTGCAGCTGAGTGGAGAGACCTCGGATGACTTTGCAGTTGTCTCTGGTGTGAAGCAAGGCTGTGTGTTATCTCCGTTGATGAAACGTGGTTCCCATCCACATGCCTCCCGGCCTCACTCCTTCGGGTTTACACTGCATATGGGGTGTGTGGTTGGAGCTGTGGGTGGTGCAGCGCAAGCCACCCGTGGTCCCTCTGTAGGCAGAGGCGTCCTGTGGCTGGCCACAGTAACAGGCAAATCCGAAACCGGATGCCGCCAATCATGTATATATATATATATATATATATATATATATATATATATATATATATATAGTGTGTACAATACTTCCTTTGAATTGTTCAGTACTTGTGACATATAGTCAAGCTCAGTGGTATGCTTAACCTGCACGCAGCTAGGTGACGCCTAAAATGATGGTACGTGGATCCTAAAGAACACTGATTGGTGAGCCAGGCTGAACACAGGTACTGTTTAAGTATATCAAGTTATGGCCACATATGGAGTAGTTATTATTGCGCGTACAATTTCTCGTAACTTTGCGAATATGACTGTTAGTTTTAACTCCAATCCCAACACATACACGCCTGTAGTATTATTGTCCGTGAAGGTACATGCCCTTCAATTCAGGTTGTGGTAGTTTATACACAACTTAGTGTAAGCGAACATGTTTTCGATAATTTCTCATCAGGCTTCCACAATTATTTACCCATAAAACCAAAATGGTTAGACAGACATTGCCAGTCGTTAGTCCAGGAGCGAGTTAAATACTGATAGTGGGCTGTCCGCTAGGTCACGACAATTGACCTCGCGGGTCAGAGGTCGTCAGGCGTTTGGGCCAGGGTAGTCCCAACCCTGCAGTTAGCTTCTTCTGGATACACAGCTCCGGATCATACAGCGGAATCGCAATTGCATCAGCACCTAGTATTCTTTTACATACGCAGTTTGATCGGTTCACCGGGGCCTGATAAATAATTTTGAGTTGGTTGAATTAGTGGCATATCGTGTATCAGGGAGATGCGCGGCTACTGAGCTGACTGGCTTTTTGCTTCCAGTTCCAAGCCAGGCCGGGTGGGGTTCCTTCACTCGCTCGGATGGACGCCTTGTCGTACGACTACTGTATTTTGCTCCACAGGAGCAGGAAAAAGAATAAATGCACACTGAATTAGTGTGAACAGGCCGTTTATCCGTGGAGTTCAAGTTCATTCTCGGAGTGTTAATGAACTCGATTTGCATTTTTGCTGCGGGGTAGGTACATCTGAGTGTATAAAATAAAATAAAAAATCCGACGTAACTTCGACCTTGTAAGGCAGCTGCAAGATCGGCTTACGTTCTACTGTTAGTACTACGGGCTGTGTGCGCTTCTGTTGCATTTTGGCTCTATTGAAACTTTCTGGGTGGCCATCCTCCCTCGGCAACAAGCGAATGCATTCCAATTCCTCGGGAAACATATATTCCGAGCAAGATTTTTCAGCTCGGCTCATTAGGGTATGGATCATAATCCTTTTATATCTTAAAGGTACAAAGCTGTAGAAATTGGTGTACACAAGTGTGGGCAAGTGCATGTGAGTGTTTGTGAGTATGCAGGGCTAGCACTGCCATTGTGAAGTTGCAAAGATCGAGGCTGATGAAGTATGCGATGCGCCTTGTCGTCCCAGTCGGGAGAAACTCGACTGTTTGTCTGTCAGTCGGACGCGCGTTTGACATATGAAACCTCTTGTGTGATATGCAATGCCTGGCTGCGTTTGATACGAATTTTGACAAGCTGCCTACCTGTCTAACACCCTCCACCTCAATTAGACTGACTCCAGTGGACTGTTAGTCATTGTTGGAGGAGACGGGGTGTACAGTCCTCGTGACGGTGCTAGGCTCAAAGTGTGATCATACACGAGCTACGGCCCAACCATTGCCTTATGGTCATCTGGTACACACGATTTCCAAATCAGATAGATAGGAATGCTGCTGCAGTGCATGTTGAAGTGGTGTGGACCGGATCGGATGACGCGTGAAACGCATCCACCTACGTCCCGGTCTTATTCCTTTGGGTTTACACCGGATATGGGATGTGTGATTGGAGCACCGCAAGTCACCTATGGTCGCTCGGTAGGCGCAAGCATTCTGTGACTGTTCGCAGATTCAGTGATAGACTAATCCAGAAACGGATGCCGCCAACAATATGTTCATGTATAGGAAGGCAACAACATAACAGACGACTTCCCCTTGTTGAAAGCTGGTGACAGTGTGGGTAATGATTTGCACACTCCGCCATCACCCATCAACACCCGGTCACTATTTTTACTATTATTATTACTATCATTGTACACAACTAACACGCATGATGACAGATTTTACAAACAGGGCTAATAAATTGGATACAGAGATAAAAGAGGATTTACTATTCGCTTGTCGTATTGTTTGCATTACATTACCGTTCTTCTACACTACAGGCCTCACGGGGAGCTCATTCACTATCTGAGGGTGCCCGTCTCTTTAGACCCCCATGGAGATAAGCGATGAGGAGGCCATGGATCTGTGGACTGGCATCCTAGTACGTCATTCGGACAGTGGTGTAAAACGTCCTAACAATGCGTTACTGGGTCTAGCAACAAGGCACAAATTGTTTCACTTGCTCAGAGGCGCAGGCACAGCACCAAAGGTCATGGTTCATGAAACAGGAGTAATTCGCAGATCTACAACCGATTTCAAAGCGTACTTGAGACACAGTTGGGCGAGCTACATCCAATGTGCCTATGTCTTGAAAAAATATTGACCGCACTAAGTGAAGCTTAACAAACATGAAATATTGATGTAGTTTATTCGCTTGAGACGCCCTACGTATGGACGGGTTCCTATAGACAAGCTCAGGCAGGGCAGCACACTACTTTGACGTGAAACTCAGTCAGTTTCGTCGGTTGTTGGAATGGTAGCTGGGAAGGAATGCCAAGTGATACCAAATTGCAACACTGCACTCCAAGAACGGTTTCGTATTTACTTCGAGTGCGGACACCCGAACGAAGGGTTGAATCCAAGACCTAGGCATCACCTGTTCACCTGCTCGTTGCCGAGGACGTTCGTCACAAAGATGGGGGATTTATTATCGGCACGTTTGAAGTGCTTATCGTGTAACTGGACGGATGCACGCGGTCGCAATCTGAACACTGTTATGCGTAAGAGAATTAAATGAAGGAAATGAAGTTATGGGACTGATGTGAATTGTCTCGCAGTAGAGCTAGTAATCAGTATACGTCAGTGGTCGGGGTTGTTAAAGCTGAGCTAATGAAGCTCTGCTGTTTACAGAACGGTGCACAAAGACTTCGCTGAGCAGACATGATATCACAGAATATGAGAGGTAATGTGTACAGCCGATACAGAGATATGATGTCAAACAAACCCTCTAAGCTAAGAACACATCTCTTAATATAAGAGGGCTTTTGAAAGCAATTTCCACTCGCCAAACAAGTAATCAGTTTACTTACGGCAATATATTCAGCGTTCTTTTCGACCAAATCTGACAGTTTGTATAGCAATCGACCACGAGCAGAGGCATCCATGGTGCGCCATGGCGAGTCTCTGCGGAAAGCCGCTTTCGCAGCTGCAACTGCTTTATTCACATCCGCTTCGTCAGCTTCTTGAACTTGACAGATAATCTCCTCGGTGGCTGGGTTCACAGTTGGGAAGGTCTTACCAGACACGCTATTAACAAACTCATTGTTGATAAAGATCTGAAAGGAAAAGGTTGTAGTGAACAAGAGATACCAACTGTGAATCCAATTAGTGTATACAAAGCGAGGAGAAAAGACGCGAAACATCTACCAAGGCCCGAGGGCAACAATTGCAAATTGGCCCCCGGTGGTAGAACGACGATGGCTCCAGCAAACCTAAGATGCTTGATAAGAGAGTTAGGGTGACCAGCAACGCTTAACTATGAGGAAGGATGTTCTTAATCTCAGCTTGATCCACTTTAGCTTCGACAACTGAAGTGAGCTGTCACTTTACAAAATGGTTAAACCTATCCCACCCGTAATGGAAAATACACGCTATACTTAAAGAAGAGCAAACAAAAGATTCGTTTAAATTTCCTGTTGAAATGGTACGCATCTCTATGGAATAAACTACAGTTGCAATTAAGGACCAGCGAGATCACACTTAAAGACTTTTCTTTCCAGGACATATGTGGTCGAAATTTTCGACTCTCAGAAACCTATAAGTGCACACCTAGAATCCGGCCCAGAAAACATGAGAAAACTAGCACTTTAATAATGTTACTCATTATATACTCAATAAAATTGTATGAATGATCCAAATTGAATGTAAGTTCATAAAAAATGCTGAGGAAACTCGCTGTAGTCTGATTTTGTATTCAGTGAACATTGAATGCCAACTGCGCGCAAAGGTTTTGGCATGTGGATGATCCGCAGATCATTCGGGATTATGACAACCGGAGTGTTCGCAAGATTATTTGTAGCCTTTGTTAGGCCACACTTAGAATACTGCGTACAGGTTTGCCTACCCTGCCTAGTCCGGAACAAAATGACACATGAACGAGTTGTACGGTCGGGGGCGAAGAGTGTTTCAATTAAAGAGGCTGTCGTACTCTGAGAGGTTAATCAAGTTGGACAGGTTTTCGAGGTACATGCGATTTCGCGGTGATCTGATCCGCACCTATCGTATAATAACAGGTCGTCGCTCTTGGTTTATCTGGACTGTTCCATCCCACTCGGGTTTCAACTCTTCGAGGGCATCCACTGGAGTTTCACAAACCCCATACAGACTAAGTTGCAACTGATACTCGCTTATCACGACGGGTTATAGACACAAGAAATGCGTTGCGTGCTGTAGTAGTGTGGGCGCCAACAGTGAAACAGTTCGAGCATCGGACTGACGCCCGTGTTATACAATTCAAAACCTTCCCCTTCGCATCTTAGCCTAGCCGTTACTTGCTTGATGCGCATACTATTTTAACTTCTCAGTTGCATTCCAAATTGGTACATTCATTGCTCTAGCTTGTTTTGCTTTTGTTCCTTCACATTTGTTTTATTTCACAGCCGACACAGCGGGGACTGCTAATACAGGGTAGGTGGGCATCGTTTGGTTGACCCTAGAGTGTACCGTGCCTGTTGATTTGGCTCCGACTTGTAGACCGCCCCACAGACCATACATCAACATCAAGAGCACATTACAAGGTGGAACAATCATGGGATATTCTTACTGTTCCGGCCCCAATTGAATTTGGACCTGTCATGAGCAACAAGTACAACGAGGATAGTAAGAGCTGCAACGAAGATATATGTTTAACATATTAACGTAGACACTAAGTAGAACGAGCTAAATCTAAGGAATACGGGAGAAACAAGGAGAGGGAAAAGACAAACAAATTTCAGTTGCAATCCGTAAGTTTACGACCATGAAGCAAATTGCTATCAAGCACTGCATTAACGCCAAACAATTAGCGAAAAATGAGGCTAAACATATCCGATCAGAAGGAGTAATAAGCCACTGTGAAAACGTATAATTCAGAAAGCGTAAAAGACAAGCACGAACCTGGGTGAACTTCACCTCCGGTAAAGTTGCGGCGCCATCACCGTGCACAAATGACATCTCGCAGAGCCGCCAAAGCAGTTCTCGAAACTATGAGTTGTGAAGGCCACCTGTAAGTCGAACTTAAGCACATAAACAAGCCAGTTAAAACTTGACTGCACAGGTTATGCGTAAACTCCTACCGAATTTCTATTACAGTAATTATGCCTAGATTATTATAGACCTAGTTAGTCCAATTTGGTTGAATCGGCATTATCCACTAGCTGGCTTATTGAGCATTTTCTCGTAGCCGACGTTCTTTGCTCTGTGCAGATTCCGATATGTTGCAGACAGCAGGTTCTTGCGATAAAATCCTTCTTTAGGATAAATTCACTTGCTGGGTCACTCGCGCTTTTCATGTGGATGTATTTCTGACAATGTCCATGTTGGCTACATGGTTGTGGTTGCTGCACCCTGGGTATTCGGCAATGTGACTGTGCAAAAGTGACAAAATTGATGTATCATTGTCTACTTAGGCGACCAGTGCAGATTGTTGAACGAGGTGTTAGGTACGACGTTTCGGCTCCACCAGTGCTTCTACGTAGCACCAGTTTCGGTGGCAACCCTTGGCGGTATTTGCGCAAGTAGCCTAGCTATAAGCAGTCGACGCCGTTGACTGCTAGCTAGGGGAACGACGGATGCACTGCACGAGGTAGTTGCGCGTTCCAAACGAATGGAATGCCGGGCAAAATTGGCGATGAACAAGTCAAGCATTCGAACACAGCAATCAATGTAACAAACAACACCGGTCGCTTGGGTGTATAAGGAACTAGTTTTGGTTAGCATTTTAGACAGGCCAACCCGGAAATCTCCAGACCGCTACGTAGACCGCCCCAGAAGGGACTGTGTAAGCAGTCCTTCTATCTACATGAGGAATTCCGTCGAGGGCCAGCCTCCGGAGCGACCAGGTTGTGCAACATGATGCCGCGCGCAATGCACCATGCAATCGAACCCTAGCAGGCTACCTCCCGTGTCCCATTACGGTATCGAAATGGTAAACAAACCGGTTTGTGGGTGGACGGTTTGTAAAGGTCACGTAAGTGATTGAGCAGGAAGTTAGTTCTACTTCCAGTTAAGGTGCGGAGATTCAGCGGAAATCGAAACCAAGGTTCAATCAACCGACGGTGTAAATGGAAAGCAAACTGAAAAGCATCTCAAATGCGGAGCAAAACACAAAAGGGTGAAAGGCAAAAAACGTGCAAAGCTATTCTTGGGTTTTCTAAATGTTTTGCTCCTTTTTGGTAATTTCAAACGTTTTGGTACCGTTTGTGAAGCTTGGTGAACGTTTGGTAAGAGCAGAAAAACATGAAAGTGAGCAATATATAGAAAGTAACAAACGCCGACGAACGCGGAAAGGCGTACTTGGGTTTAACTTTTCTATCACTTCGATCCTTAGTGGGTCGTGAAGGTGTGCCGTTGGTTGCGGTTGTCGGTTCCACTGAAGCGTGGTGGCTGGGTTGAGATTGTGGTGCTAGCTGTGATGGCGTTAGCTGTGCAGGTATTCGTTGCTTGTCGAGGAAGGCTGGCTGGGTTTGCTCGAGGTTGCTCGTCTCAGCCTTACCATTGTAGTCAGTGGGATACTTCTTGTCGTACCTGTGTAGGACATGCTACGGGCCAGCACAAGGAGGTTGAAGGGTCAGCTCACGCTGTCGGTGCAAACGAACATGTGAGTGAAAGTGGTTACGCGTTCGTCCAAGTTTGTACGCAATCTCTGTGCTATGGGTTGCACGGGTTGAAGCTGTTGCATGTGATGAGGTAGGTTAACTGCCTAGTTGTCCTAGTCGAGGGCTGTTGGCGCGTTTGGCAGGATGAGTTCACCAGCTAAGCGTTGTGTGCATCCGAAGACCAGCGAAGAAGGAGTGGCGTACAACTCCGCTTTAATAGTGTTTCATATGACTAAGAGGGCGAGCGGAAGTGTTTCGTGCCAGGCTTAGCTACATTGGGTACAGAGTGATGCCTTAAGTTGCCGGTGGAACCGTTCTACCAACTTATTAGCAGCGGGGTAGTATGCGGTGGTTCGGTTGTGTTTGCAACCACGAATGTTGAGAAGTTGGCTGTAAGCTCGGTCAAGGTGTGACCCTCGGTCGATTTTAAGTACGCTTGGGAAACCAAATTGAGCTGCCCAGCGTTCTAGGAAAGTTTGTTCATCCGCCACAAATGAGCAGTTGTCTATGGTACACGCTGCTGGGCAACGGGTGGACCAGCCGCCACAGGTGGGGCGTTACACATAGCCTTTGCTTGGGGGCAATGATCTACCAAGGCGACATGGACGTTTGTAAAACGAGCGTCGGGAGCAAGAGGACGTCGTGTGGGCGCTTGATGTGTCCGTATACCTTGGCTGGCTGCCTCTGTAAGCATGCGCATGCCCAAAGGCAGACATCACGGTTGACGTTGTGCCATACGAAGCGTTGGATTACGAGCTTCTGCGAAGCACGTATGCCGGATGAGACAGGTTGTGGAAGGTGGTAAAAGCAAGTCGACGCATCGAAGTAGGAACTACGGGTCGGGGAGATGTTTGTGAGGCGTTACAAAGCATAGTGTTCTCAGATGAAGCTAGTTGACCTTATGGTACTTTCAGAAAGGCGGTACGTTGTAGTTTGTCTATGCCGAGATCAACTTGTTGGGCTGCAGGCAAGGCGACGAGGTTCATGTTTGTGCCAGACGATAAGATGACCTGATGAGTGCATGCAAGCGCGTCCGCGACGGGATTGAGAGCACCTGAGAAACCTAGACTAGGTGTCTAGCTTCTCGTGGAGAGTACTTGTCTGTTGCACCATTGATTGCGTAGGTTACTGGCTTGTGGTCTGTGAAGACTGTACAAATCGACCTTCGAGATAGTGAAGGAAATTTCTGATACCTAGATGGTTACCTAATAGTTCCCTACTGACGGTGCTGTAGCACGATTCGGCAAGGTGTAACCGTTTCGAGAAGGAAGCAAAGGTATCCACCGATGCTCGTTGAGTTGGTGAAGAACTGCACCGACGGTAGCGTCGGATGCGTCAGTTTTCAGGGAGTGGTGCTGATGTCTCTGTGTGGTCGAGTAGCGCTACGTTAGAGGTAGAGTCTTTGTGCTTCTCGTAAGACAGACTAGCGTCGTATGCAAAATGAAAGGCGCCTTGTTTACCGTGGAGTATGCCAGTCATTGGCTGAACAATGCTCGCGGAGGTAGGAATAATACGTAGAGAATAGTTGACCAGGCCAAATAATCGGCCTAGTGGTTTGAAAGAACAAAGAGCGGGATAGGCCTACAATTCCTGGATTTTGTCTGTCAGTGCTTCAATCCAGAGACGGATATTCGGTGGCAATGCAAATCGCTGGAACTTTAACCAAGCTCCCATGTATCGGGGTTTTCGGTAAACCCATGTTGCAACAAGCGCTGGCAGACAGGGTCCTGATAACATGATTTATCGTCCAAACAGCTGGCGATGTGAATGTCAACTATATAAGGATAAACGTCTGCAAGTCCTCGCGTCAGCTCAAACATGACCCGCTGAAAAGTTTGAGCAACGTTGCTGAGGTCTAACGGCAAGCTGAAGTTTACGACCAGGCCGAACGGCGTGATGACTGCGGTTGTACCAATGTCGTCTGGCGCCACAGATATCTGATGGTAGGCACAAACTAGGTCGACTTTGCTAAACAGGGGCTTACCAGTTAGAGCTGTGGTTAAGTCGTGCATGTGCGGAATGGGATGTTTATCCGGGACGGTAAGTATGTTAAGTGCCCTCTAGTCACCACGGGTCGCCAGTCGCCGGATGTCTTCGGCAACATGTGTGCTGGTGATGTCCATGGACGTTTGGACTGGCGTATTCTTCCCAGTTCGAGCCGTTGCTTGAATTCCGCCTTAGCAGCTTTGAGCATGTCTGCGGCGAGCCTGTGTGGTCAGGCCGAAACCGATGAAACCGTAGTGCAGACGTGATGCATAACGCTTGACGTCACAGGAGGCAAGTAGTTCGGAACGCGAAGGAGTTTATGAAGCATGTCTATGTCTATGATGGCGAAAGGCACGACTGCTACTATGAAAGGCCAACGAAAGGTTCGCCGAAAGCATAAATTGAGCGTTAACAGCCTATCGTTGAAAGTTGCGATCGGTGTGCCATTAATGTAGTGCAGCTTGGTGGGCCAGGGTGAGACCACCACATCTGAGCTACGGGGTATAACGCTAACGTTGGCTCCCTTTTCGTATAGGATCTGGGTGCCGGAGGTCAACTCTGCCAACGCGGTTGAGACGACTTTGGTGTGCGCCGGTCCCATCTGTCGCCTTACGGAGCGGCCGGGAATTTTCTGTACTTGTCGGTGAAGATGAAACCTAGTCACATTTCGTAGCTGCGGTATCACAGCATTGATGGTAGCAACAGCAAGCCTGCATGCTTATGGGGGGATTTCGAATACGATCTGAGGTTTTTCAGGGCAACTCACGTCTGTTTTTCTAAAGGTTTGCGAGGCGACGTTGTTACAAATTGCGTAAGGTGTATAGGATGAGGTAAGGAACTACAGAAACTAACAGCTGTGCTGTACGATGCATCATTTCGAAGTTGTAAAATCTGCCAACAGTTAATATATAATAGTACGAAAGTGGTTAAAAATAAACGTAATGTGAGAAAGTGCTTTGTTTCCGTCAAATCCAATAAGTACTAACCGATTTGGCTAAATTTCCTAAACGTTTTTGTGTCCATATAGAACATATGCTTTGTAAGTACCAATGGTTTCGCAGTGGACGTTACACGTTGATGTCTGCTGGTGTAAGACTAAATTTGGCTAACAGCATTATAAACCGTTCGATGATATACTGCGTGTGTGTATAAACACGTAAGCCCTGCTCGTAAGCACTATATAAATAAATAAATAAATATTTTATTCTCGACTATGCGAGGCACGCCAATTGAGGCATGAGCAGATATGTACAGCTGTATAGACATTTTATGGGAACTGTAGTGACAGTAGGAAATCGTGCATATGTCCGTGCTTGGAACTGTGCAATGGTGAACATGCGAAAGAACGATTTGGTTGTCGTGGGATCGGGATCCATTTGTTTGGACATAATCGCTCTCCCATATATCGCAGTCTTACCTCGACTAATAATAGATTGAGAATCCTGAGTGATCCATTGGAA